ATGCACATAAACAGTATACAAACAAAACATATAAGAATACAGAATAAGAAAGTATAGACAAAAAAACATGAACAAAATAAAAACATAGAAAATAGATTGCAACATCAGACCATGGTTTATACATCTATGATCAGACACAGCACTGTTACTAGAAAAAAACAAGCAGACAAGACAAGACAAAGACAAATACTTTATTAAAGTCTCACCTTATGTACATACATATAAAACATATACATATATAAACAACAGCGTATACATAAGCCACTCTAAAAAGAGTTACGAGAGACTGATTAAAACACATATACATAAAAGAAATGTATATACAATCATTAAACCTGTGTAACATCGACATATATAAAAGGTTAATCTCAGCTTATACATAAAACACTCAAAAAAGAGTAAAGAGAAACTGATTAAAAGCACTTAATAAATAGCAAATAGCCCATCAAAATAATTAATTGCCTTTGAACCACAGCAGTTTAAGTAAAAATAAGTTCAGCAAAAAAAGCAAAACAGTATACAAACCAAAACATTTCATTTGGCAGGACGTAAGAATTTAATCAGATGCGAGGCAGCATTGGTTACATTTCCATTCATTGCAATTGCATTTTTGTCCCTTTCACCAGCTATTTATACATTTGTTAAACTTGTCAAATTATGTCCTTACGCGAGCCTCATCTTATCTTGGTACTTTTGACTTTTTCAACCAAACATCAGAAGTGCAATAATCATATATATATAAAGGTTTGAACGTTGTTTTCAATTTAGACTTATATTTATATATAATTATATATAGAAGTCTATAAAAAGGACCAACCAGCAAATTTACTATGTACCGTATCATCTAGAATAGACGATACTGCGCAGATATATAAGGAAAACATTTTATAAGTCTAAAGATTTGCACAACGGTACTAATAGTATAAGATGGTAATATACGAAGATGATGTTATAAAATCGTGTAGTCTTAAGATTTGCACAACGGTACTAATATAAGACGGTAATATACGAAGATGATGTTATAAAATCGTGTTGACACGATGTTATAACAGTTGTGCAAATCTTTAGACTTTTATATATATATATATATATATATATATATATATATATATATATATATATATATATATATATATATATATATATATAGAAGTCTATAAAAAGGACCAACCAGCAAATTTACTATCTTGAATAGACGATACTGTGCAGATAAGGAAAAAATTATATAAGTCTAATATATATATATATATAATGTCTGAATAATACCCAACGATAAATCTTACGGGTTGATGACTCATATAATTATGATACCGTGCACTACAAAAATATAATATATAATAAGCAAGTCTAAAAGGGTACAACATCACCCAAAAAAAAATTAAATCATGAATATTTGTTAAATATTTCGGATAACTAATATCCTTCATCAGTAAGATGTCAAATGGTTTTTTTATATATCAAATGCGTTTTGTTAAATATACCTTTTCACTTTTTTGGTCTTTTGGGATATGTTTTTTGTGCTGTATTTAGACCCCTATACCAAGAAATTTGTTTGGCATGCACACGTATAAAACTTGCGGTTATCATCCAACGCAATCTCAGGTTTGAACGTTGTTTTTAATTTAGACTTGTATATATATAAATTGCGGTTTTTATCCAACGCAATCCTAGGTTTTAACGTTGTTTTCAATTTAGACTTGTATATATATATATATTTCTCTAATTCTTTGTCAATTTATCCCTTTCTGCACCCATTGTATAAAAAAAATTTAATCAACGTGTGGTTCGTTTGATCTCAGTTCTTCATTGGTTAAAATCCGATTATGACGTCGAATTTTCTTCCTTTCCTCTGAATTTCCTATTGTGATGGCATGAAAAAAGGCGACCATGCCTGATGACGTCACATAGAAAGAACACATCTTTTTGCAGATCATTCGAAAAGAAGGAATAAATTTGCCTGCGTAATGTTTGAAAATCATTAGAGAAACAGATTCCACCACCAAATCTCGTGTAATACGATATTTATCCACTCTCGACAGTTAAATTTTAAATATTTAAAACGCTCGGCGCAGTGGTAGAATCTATATTTATCCAACGCAATCATAGGTTTGAACGTTGTTTTCAATTTAGACTTGTATATGATTGCGTTGGATAAAAACCGCAATTTCTATACGTGTGCATGCAAAACAAATTTCTTGTTAGAGGGGTCTAAATACAGCACAAACAACGTTTTCCAAAAGACCAAAAAAGTGAAAAGGTATTAATAATATTTTAACAAAACGCATATGACTAACATATATATATATATATATATAACGTAGCAGACGTCTCTGAATTAATTCTATTTATTAGTTTTATTCACTGCAAAAACGCAAAGTTCGAGAGCGATGACTGTTGTTTTACATATAAACTGAATAGTATATAGAACGTTCGTCAATTCGATATGTTATTCCTGCAGACAGGTACGGAAAAACATATGCCATCCCATTATATAAAATAAGTTTGAAATATAGAGGGTTTTTGTTATTATTAAATCATGTTTTTTTCATTATCAGTAGAATTACTATTATTGTTTTTTATTATTACAAGAATTTATACAGCACCTATATAATGAATCCTTGATTATTTACTATTTTTGATTATTATTGTTGTTAAATCAAATCGGATCATTCCAACTACGAAAGAAATTCATTTATACATTGTACTGTTATACAACTGTAATATTGCTAAATGATTAATTTAAAAAAAGTGTCAACAACCTGTCAAACTGTAATTATATAATTTTAGTACTTATTCAGGTGTACATGTAACAGTAATCACAAAAAAGACGTGACACGTATAACATTGTCGTAAAATTTTCACACGTTTAAAATAGGTTGTAATTGTATAAATATAATTAGAGCCACTTACACAAAGCTATTTTTCTATTATAGTGTAGTATTAACGAATTATTCGTCAGATTATAGTACTTGTAAGAGCAGGGGTGATGACCACCAATAGTTATTCGCACCACGAGGTCACAAAAAACGGAAGTCGGATTACGGTAAAAATTCACGCCTTGAATGACGAACGTGTGAACATGGTCAAATCTGGAGTACAATTTCCGATATTACTCTCTTATTTCAAGTGAAACAGTTAAAATTGTTCATGTCATCAAGTTGAAATATTGTGAATAAAAGAGAACGACACATTTTGCTTTAATATAAACAATGAAAAATTGTTACGCTTATTCAGTTTAAAAAAAAATCTGTACTTTTGAGTCTTAAACCGAAAAGAATAAAACAATTCACCAAGATGTTGCTAATAAGTTAACAATTAACTGTAGATTTCATGCAATTGATATAGAAGGTATATATTAAATGTGCATCGATTTTCAAATTGAAATTTGGTCAACATGTTTTCGTTCGGTAACAGAATCGGATAAAAACACTTCGAAAAAAGTTGACAAATACTTCAAATAAAGATCAATTAAAATGATCGTCAAAAAGATATAGACAAAAAGTCCTGTTAATAGCGAGCTTATTTTAATCGCCGGATATTTGCCAGGTGAAACACGGTGTCAGTCGATAAATGCTAAAATGTAATATGCACGTGCAATGATTTTCAGACGACCGTCCCACTTCCTGTTGTTTGCAGCCAGGTGAAGGGTTGGGCAATTTATGGCGCGCGAGACAGGTCGTATGTCATCCTCCCCCGCCATTCTTCTTAACAAAGTGTAATTTATCAATTGATCAAGAATTTACACAATAGGAACACAAAATAATGAGATGAGAAAGCCTTCAGGTATTTCATTAGATTAATTTCTGTTTAATGCAAAGAAAGTAAAAAGGGGTTTATTAATTTTACAAAAGGAAATAGGATAAATCGATTTACATCTTTTTGCACTGATGTAATTATGTAAATTGCATTGAATGACAGTGCTTCTATCAAATAATATATGAAAAAGGGGTATGGTAAAAATGTGTTCACAAAAAATAATCAACATTTACTTTTATTTTAATTTATTTGTTTACTAAGATTTGATTCAAGTGGTCAATCTTGTGTTACTAATTGTGTCTCAATAAAACCGAAGGTTAAATTTCAAAAGTGTATAAAATGCACTGACAAAAAAAGAGGTATATTCCTATTTTCAGTAAGTGTGTATATTTAGTATATTTAGCTGTTTATTTGATATCATAAATATGCAAATATCAAGTGGTCAGTAAGAAGTGATCTGCTTTATGTCATATTTGTAATGTATCCCATGTACATATTATTAGTGTCAAATCAATTGCATACGCCTTGTGGCATTGTGTCAAAATATTTAAATATCAAATGACCTAAGCTTATACTAATTTGCCCAATAATGTAAAATAATATTTCTGTTGAGTCAGACCGCTATTTAACGGAATGTTTTAAAATACCCCAAGGGAATCTGCAAGAAAATTATTTACTTTAAAATAGAAAATAAATAATATGTTTGACAGATTTGTTTACCTATAATCTAAGAACTGAAAACTCTAATTCAATTGATCTTTCAAAGACCTTTTTGTATTCATTATCCAAAACTAGAAGCAGGTGGCAGCTAAAATTTTCTCATGAAGTTAATATGCAATGTACATTCATTTACTCTCGATTAAAGTTTAAACTTCCCACTTGAAGTATTTTCCCACGAGCCGATACAAAAGAGATATTGCATACCTCCACAAACAGGGAGCATTTATGATAAGGCGGCCACGAGCCCGCCGTAAACAAGTATTGTAAGCGATTCGGTTATCACGCTTCGTATTTACACAATAATTAAGACCAAAGAAAGGCGGAGTTTTCCCACAAAACTGTATAATCATTATGGCACGTGGCCCTATTTAGATTACAACCGATAAACCACTTGATTGACATACCGTTACAGCCATATCAAAGTGGTACTTATTAATAGCCAATCAGATCGTTCGATATCTCAATACCTGGTCATTTCCCGCGAATTAAGTGGATGGTGATTGGTTATATGCTGAGGCATCTTACCGTGGGAATCTAAGGGTAAATAGCTTCACACCAACATTGAACCACATGTTGACATAGTATAAGTGTGGTTCTCAATTGATTAATTTTACACTTGTTGATAGCCCGTCTAACTGTAAGGATCACTATTCATATATGAAACTGGACAAATATGTTTGAAATGGACATTCACGATAGAGAAAACACTTCAATGGAGGAAAAACTGTCAAGAAAGGTAAGAATGATTATTAAAATGAGCCGTTTTATTTATTATTATTTACATGTACCTATTTGAATTTTTTTAAGTTCGTATTTAATGGAATTTTAAATGGTATCTACAATCCAAGTCATTTATATCTGATGTATGCTACTGCAGATTGGTTATAACTTGACATTAACTACACATTTCTTTATTTTTACCTTTCTATACTGTTTGAAAATTATTTTAGTTTTATTGTACCTTTTTCAGAGTAAAAAGCCATTGATGGAAAAGAGACGAAGAGCCAGAATTAACAATTGCTTGCTTCAGCTCAAATCACTTGTCTTACAAGCAATGAAGAAAGATGTAAGTGTATTTAACAATTTGGTTATACATTTAATTTGTACAATATTAGATATCGAAGTTAAGTGCCAAGATTAGACTGTATAGGTCATTAAAGGCTAAAAAGTTTACCCTTCTTGTGAAATACCTTGACCACTCTGACTATCAATATACACACACGTAACCATCCGAACAGACTATGTTATTACAGAATATTTGCAAAAGATCAGAAAAATCAAATTATTTCGTAATAACCCAGGGTTTTCAATGGAATAAAAAGAATTGCTATTTTGGAAAAAAAATCAACATTCAATTAGGACATTCTAGCTGCTAACATTTAGTCAATTTTAAATGCACATTATAACAATATCATGAATATAATTGTCTTAAAACTTTAAACGACGCTTATTAAGTTCTGAGACTACTATAACACATATATGTGTTATAGTAGTCTCAGTCAAGTTGCATAAGTATAATTGTTTCTTTTTCATATTTTAGGCTACACACTATTCAAAACTAGAGAAAGCTGACATTTTGGAAATGACTGTGAAATATCTCCGTTCTATGCAAAGACGACAGATAACGTCTGCTATGGCTGCCGATCCAACTGTTGCCGCAAAATACAGTCTTGGATACGCTGAATGTGCAAGTGAAGTCGCGCGATATCTCGGTGCTAGTCAAGGTATAAATGACAATGTAAGAAATCGTGTGATGAATCATATTTCTGGCTGTACTCGAGGCTCAACAGCTGGACCTGTCAATAATGGACAAATACCTCTACAACCTTTACATGTGCAAATTCCACAGAACAGTCATGATGTAATGTCAATACCTTCAGAACGTCTGCTTGTACAATTCCCAGAACAAACCAATGACTATACACATCAACATAGTGCTTATTCTGTGTCGCATTCAGATTATCGTCCCGAGTCGAAAACATTTGAACCAGTTTTATTACAAAGTGGACATATGATAACCCCACATTCAAAACAGAATGGTGTATCCTCTCATCATCTGAAATGCGATGTGTATTCAAATCAAAGCAAATTTATGGACCTCATTCGAGACTCTAGATTAGACAATAAAAGTGCTCTGTCGGAACCTATTTGTTTTAAAATGGAAATGTCTCGCCACCGCTCTAGTCCCTCTACTTCATCTTCCTTAAGTGCCTTGAAAGACGAACCAGTATGGCGGCCTTGGTGATGATGGTTCGATTTGTTTACTAAAACTCTATTTTTATATCAAAACTTTGAAGTGCTTTAATGACATTTATATTTTTGTTATAATATTGTGATGTTTACTGCTGAAATAAATACCATTAAATTTGTTGCGGCATTATTTGCTCGTAAACTTACAAGATTGCACTTTAATTTATATATCCATATTTTGGTCTTGATAGAAAAGAAAGGATATGGGGTGTACATCTTCGACACAAAATCGGTACATGCACATCGAGTATATACAACTTTGCACTGGTTGCACCGCTCTCTCTCTCTCTCTCTCTCTCTCTCTCTCTCTCTCTCTCTCTCTCTCTCTCTCTTATTTTCAAGATTTTTAAAAGTTCATTTTTTTAAGATATGTGGAACTAAAATCAATGAGACAGCAACCAAACAACAAAACGAAGAGAAACAATATACAGATGTCTACATTAAATGTTGAGACAAGTACTTTTTCTAATCTTGTCTGAGGTTACCCACGTCACAAATAAAAAATATAAGGGATTATAGTCTTGTGGATATGATATATAGTCAGTTGTCCTTTTATTTCCTTTTGCCCATGCTTGTAATCAGTGGCGGATCCAGAAATTTTCATAAGTGGGGGCCCACTGACTACCTAAGAGGGGGCCCGCTCCGGTCATGCTTCAGTGATTCTCTATATAATCAACCAAATTTTTCCCAGAAAAGGGGGGCCCGGGCCCCCTGGCCCCCTCTAAATCCGCCTCTGGTAATGTTTGTAAACTATTAGCCTCGTGTTGATATAAGTTTGAAGGTTGTGTGATATCTTCTAAATATTCATAAGAAGCTGACTAGCCGTAAATGTCCTGCTGTTAATTTTTTCATAAGCCGTCATTGCTTATTGCTGTTGCTGGCGGTAGTTGAGAGGTTGGTATGCAGTTGGAGCTGCGTTCATTAGTGATTTGGCCACGTTTATATTCAGCTCGTATTATGTTATATTCTATATTATAACGGTTTAACTAGTACATTAACCTCAATCTTTAAATTGAATGATGCATTCAATATAGCCGGACAGTATACACACTATAATGATGATATTTGTATCGAATAAACAAACCCCTTTCGCCTATTGAGATCTTCACTCTACTTGCTTATTACCTCGCTACACAAGAGTTTAGCAGAGTTCTCTGTCGTTTCTGTTTTGTATAGTTGGTATGACCCGATGCATTTCTAGGAATTCCTTTTCCAATTTTAATATGACCTATGCGAGACGATTTCCATGCTTGTTTATGATACACTTGCTAGCAAAATTCTGCAAATGCGTGCAGCTATCAATCCAATGTGTGAAAAAGGCGTTTTACATATTTTGTGACTCAAATGGTCTACACCTGAAGACTAGATAGCTTACTTATCTAATAAGGTACACATTTACCCTATATTGGTACTGAACTTCTTTTCGTTATCATTATCATAAGTATTCAAAATACGATGTCGAGGGTCCAGAAAGTCTATACTTGGCTTCATTTAAAGATTGGATCACAATAGAGTAGAAGTAAGCTATTTCCATGAAGTTGCTTGGAAGGGTAATTCGAGCGCATATTACGTTCGGTACACACGGTTATAACGAACTCGATAAGGGTGAATGCAAGCGGTACGTATATCCTCTATATCGTGTCCAAAAGCCATATAAAATGAACCTCGTATGTTTTATAGAAATACTTGTGTACAATTGGACCTATGTAAGACTCTTATAATTGTTAATAGCCCAATATTTGTATGGATTAATTGATCAATGATTGATTTACGCCGTTTTAACGCAAACGGCTACATCGTATATATTTTGACAAAAAATCTACAAGGAAGTCCGGTCACAGGCACCTGTGAGTCCGGTTGATACTTTTGATTAATGGGGAGTATGAAATTGTCCCATTTAATTTCGAGTTGTTGGTCACCTATAGAACGGAACTCGTTTTACTATAGCAATATACCATCAAATATAAAAGTTGTATCATATAGGAGGAGTAGCCTGGCATCCTGAGCCAATCTAAGAGCAGTGAGTCAGGATCCAAGACTAATAGGAGGAGGGGTTTCATTTTCGTTTAATTATCTATGTCAAATGACGGCAATCGTTATGGTTCTACTTATTACACATTGAAGCGGGTAGCCGTAAGATATTGCCTAGATATAATTTGAATCCGTCAGATATAGTCGGATTTGATATGGTTAAGAATTTAAGAGTTGTTCCCCTTACGCCAAATGAGTGAAATATCTGCATCAGCCGCATGCGTACTTGATTCGGCAAGTAAAAAAGAAATATAAGCCTATGGATTTTAATCAAGTTACACAACGCGCGACAATCGTGTAATATAGCAAACAAATTATACAAAGTGTGTATTCCTGGGATATAATGACTTTTAAAATAGACATCTATTACAGAGTTCAAAAGACGCCAATGTACAATAATGACTTGCCGGCCTTAAAATTGTGTTTAAAATACGGTTCTAATGTATTAAATTAAGATATAATTATAATGCTTGCAGGCAATGGAGACACACGGCAACGGTTCGAAGCGATAAGTATGTTTGATGTCGTATATAGTTAAATGTGATAACACATGATTCGTCTGACGTTAAACTATTGATAAATTTTATTTCCAATAGGGGACCCATTATGGGCAAAATCAGTATAATGATTAGCATAATAATACATATCTATAAATGATCCCTCAATAAATATTTTCATACGTGTATATTCCAACTACATTATGATTTAATTCCGATTTTACAGTTCGCAAAATAACTGTCACCTAAAATACCTGACAATCAGCAAAAAGTTCTTTTTCATTACATATGATACTAATAGAAATTAAAACAAACTGCAAATTAGTCCGATATTGCTATGACGTCTAACGACCTTTTTGGGAAGAACCCTACATACTGTGCTGAGATTAAATTAAAAAGAAGAAAAGAAACGCTTCCCTATTCTGCATTAACTTCCGGAACACACTACAAATCAACACCTAGTGACAGAACACATCAATTCATTTTATTGAAAGTTTTTCAACTTCAGAATTATCTGCTTTTAACACAGCAGGTAAAATTTATTTACTTGGAATTTTGACGCTTAGAGATTAACTTGATAAGAATGGGTCAATACTCTTTGTCACATAAATTTTACAACACCACTAGCTTTGCGAATTGCAAAATCGTCTTCCCACGTGCGTGAATACCTCAAAACTGAAAACCATGTAATCGCCAATTAATCAACCCGACAAACAAAACATCAGAGAAATGACATGAAAAGACTTGTTTTGCATTTATCATGTTTCAACGTCAAAGGTTAAAGTTTAACTTGTGTCTGGTGTTTTTGTATCAATTTGGTAGGTACTACGCTTTGACTTCAAGAGTGCGATCAAAGAAAATACATAATTTTCCTTACGTTACAATAGGCAGATTGTTTATTTCATGGACACGTAGTTCAAATAAAAAAAAAACATACATACATACATACATTTGCGACTGCGTCAACACAATATAGGACAGAGTGACCGATAACGATTAATTGTGTATGAATTGGTGGATTTAGTAGTTCTTAAAAATTGCAAAGATTATTTGGTTTTGTTTAAATGTCCTCAAGATGAAGGAAATCTCTGGTAAAGATATCCTTAATTTTCACTTTGTGGAATGCTATTGTTTTTTTGGTATTTCTGATATTCTTGTTTTTAGGGCAATGTACTTTACGATTAAATTCATTTTCAACTAATAAGGGGTGGGGGCATATAATTTTGTTCTCGAAGAGTACCATTTCTGCTTTTAGGCAATGTGGACTTTACTTTTGATCTTGTTCTCGAATTGTTTCTGCATGTTTGTTAAAATCAGATTTTATTTCTGAAAAATAAATGGGGTTCTTGTTAACCCTTATGGCCGAGTCATATATTTGGATAGATATAAGAAGATGTGGTATGAGTGCCAATGAGACAACTCTCCATCCAAGTCAAAATTTATAAATGTAAGCCATTATAGGTCAAAGTTCGGTCTTCAACACGGAGCCTTGGCTCACATCGAACAGCAAGCTATAAAGGGCCCCAAAAATGACTAGTGTAAAACCATTTAAACGGGAAAACCAACGGTCTAATCTATATAAAAATCGAGAAACGAGAAACACTTATGAACCACATCAACAAACGACAACTACTGAACATCAGATTCCTTTTATATATATTTGGTTTGTTACACGCCCTTTTAATTTGTAATTTCCTAATCGTTATTGACTTCTGCAAATATTTGAGCTGTCACCAACAATTCAGAAGGTCTACATGACGTAACGCTGGACTTTGATCGTGTCAGTTGATAGTCCTACAGTTAGTCCCCTGTGTAGACCTATCAATGCTTCAATCCTCGAATGAAATATTTATTCTGTACAGGATCAAAAGGTAGACAATACACACGTGCCATTAAATGAAATGCACACCACAGTAAAGCATGCGTAATGAAATTTAAAAATCTCCCGAGATTTCACAGGAGATAATAAATGTATCAGTTCGTACAGCGGTGTGTTTTCTCAAGAAGTCAAATTGTTTTTGATCCGGCAAATATCTTAAATTAACCGATAAAATTAGTTGCATGCGTTCTAAGTAAACAACGGCAGTATGCATTATTCAATCAAATATATAGAGCACAGCATAACCGTTTTTCGAATAGATCTGAAAACGGGCTAATGAGGTTGCATTTATAATATCTAAGTTGCTCCCCTTTAACTGTGTTTATATGTAAAATATGTACACAGGCTTAACAAATTGGACGATGGGTTACTTTATGATGCTTATGTTTGTAATAAAATTTTAGATGCAGGAAACATTAATTGTTGGTATTCATCTATGAGATATGTCCTTCAATCACTTGATATACAAAATTTGAATACAAAGCTCAATAGATTAATTAAATTTGTAAAATGTAAACTTTGTAACAGTTTTAAAACATTTTGGGGGGTCAAAAGATCTGATACCTTATCACAAGGTAATAGTAAATTAGAAAATTATTTCAACCTCAAGACTGACTTCGTAAAGGAGGCTTATTTATCAATTAAAGATTTTAATATAAGAAGAGCTATATGTAAATTGAGAATAAGTGCACATGATCTTAAAATTGAGAAA